TGCTGCAATACATTTTAAAAAAATAATGAAAAAACCTACATCTTTTGCAAGTGCTAAAAGAGTTCATGAGTCCAATTTTCAAAGAAGCTTCCAAATGATCATATTGTGTTTATTTATAACAGTGGAGCTTCAAAAGCCACATACACAAAGCCTTTGTTTATTCGTTATTAATGTGTAAAATCAAAAATTTAACACTCATATCATTTGAATCAGCTTTTACATATTGCATAATATACTGCGTAGGTACATTGCTTGCATAGAATATAAACATTTGTTACAAGATTTTGATTGCGTGTGATATTTTTGTTATCAGAAAGTTACAGCATTATGGAGAGGAAAGGTACATTTACTTTTATCTTGGGAAAGAATATATATGAATATTTAAATTATACAATGCAGTTTTATTTGATTCAAATTGTTATTGGTTTCTTACTGGATACATAAGAGAAAGTTGATGCATTACTTTAAAAAACTTAAATTTATATACTGAAAACATATTCTGAGATAAATGAATTAACATTCATTGCCTCGATTTATACATAATATTGTTATAGTTTGGTTTGTTTAGTTTCAGATTTGCGTATTTGGGAAATCATTGTTTGTACACATTTTAGGACTTAGCATGACAAGTAAATAAAGCAAATTAAACTTTTTTAAAGACTTTTTTGATGAGCATGACCCATGAGCCCTTTTATTGAAATAAGCAGCAGGAAAGGAATAAGGAATAAGTGGAGAAGAGAAACACATTTTTCGGATCTCCTGTTTCTGTTATAAACCCCTATATGTCTAAATACTCAATTCTGCGTCTCTGATTCATAATAAAGAGTGGAAATGGAAAACTTTCTTCCTCCCAACTAGCAAAGAAGTCAAGACAATGTAGTAGTATAAACTATGGTATGTAATGTATTCTGAGTCAGATACTTTTTCCAAGTATATCCTCTCTTTATGAAAGCTTTTAAGTGAAATCGTGCGAGAGAAACCACTTCTCTTTTTCTCTTGTAACCCAAATCTGAACAGTCTACAACAATTTTTTAGGAATAATAAACCAACTCCTATTTTTTTTTTAAAAAAAATAATTGTTTATTAAATTGTATTTTTTAATTTCATTTTCCTCTAAGTAACTCTTTACTTGTAATTACTGTTATATGAAGAAGCTGGTATTTATTGCTTTTGTGTGTGTTTGCAGTCTGTGTAAATATAAATATTTCAGATTCAATATTTTGGCTTTAATCTTTAACGTAAGAGCTTTTTTTTACTGAGATCAGTGAATTCTACTTTTACATAAGCACAATTTTATTATCTTTAATATAAGTTTGGCTAAATCTGAAAATAAAAATATGGCCTTATTAATTTCAGATCAATCAGTATTGATAAAGTGATTATTGTTTATAAACTAGGTAAATTCCATATGACCTCTGCAAAGCCATATACTATAATCTAATGCTGTTACCAAATTTAAAAGCTTCCAGGTCATTGTCAAAAAGAGGAGTAATACTAGGGGAAAAAACACTCTTAAAAAGATATTATTTAAAAAAATGTCCTTGAAAAGGTCTCTAGACTGCAAATAAGCAACATGATTTCATACTTGATCATGGTATTTTGCTCAGCCTGAAACCTATTGACAGAAAACTTAATCTGACTGTAATATAGTTTTTATAATCTGGATTAAAAATATAATCTGCATGCTTCAATTTTTGAAAATTTGCATTTGGGAATAATTTATTTTGATGTAATAAAGTATTCTGAATTATGAGATGCTTGTAAGTCTGAAATGATTTATTTGCTGTCAGATTAATATGGGGTTTTTTTGTGAGCCCTCAGTACATAGAAATTGGAATTGGAAAGCTTCAAATGGTAGTTGATGGGTAAAACTGCATTTTCTAAACACCCAGTAGTGAAGAAGACAATGCTCCTGTTGGTAGAAATTCTAGCCCACTGAATAACACCAAACAGCAAGTTGAAATTAGATAGAGATTTATTGGATACAACGGTTTGCAAAGCGTGGTGGACTCCAAATAAATATTTGAGCCACACCTAGTCACAACAAAGACACACATTATATACATTCTATCCCAACGCCTTGGCCCCTCCTCTGAGGTTACAATCGTATCAGAGCCGCCTAAACAAAATACATTATCCCTGCCCCTTACTATTTTGCTTCACCTATTCCCTTATATGTACTTTATGATGAAATCCTACAGCTCAATGTGGAAATCCTATAGCCTACGTGCAGAACTCTTACAAGGTACTTGTACATGTAGAAATTGTGTAGAAATCTTGCAATCTACGTGTAGAAATTTTGTGTAGAAATCTTACTGTCTGTGTGTAGAAATTTTACAGAGTACATGTCACTTAACTTTACTTTTTATTCTAAAATTGTATTCCTAACACTCCTGGAAGAGTTTTTTTAGATTTTTAATTTCTATTTTTATAAGTAAGATAAAATAATATTTGATGGATCTTAGTCAAGCTTTTATTTCATACCATGAGAATATTTGTGAGATTTTGTACAATGCACTTGGGCTTTTGCACGCTTTGCTGCATTACAGTATAGGACACTATATGAACACAGACATCATGGTTTGTAAATCTTGGTTTATGGCTTAGGCTGTTTATGCAAATTGTAGTTGTGGCTTAGTGCCATATGCCAACTTGGTCACTGAATTCATTTTTAATCATCCTTAAATCCAAGGTTAGAAAGCAATGTGTTACAAAAAAAAAAAAAGAGGAACAGATCCTGAATATCAAAATCATGACGTTTGAATGTTATGTGCTATCCAGCTTGAACTCGGGATGGTCTTTCCACAAATCTTAAAACTGCCGGTTTACAGTGTTTTAGCAGTGCATTTTAAATATATGCTCTTTGGCTTTCCATAGCCTATTTCTAAGAACCAGAAACTGAAAAGAACGTTTAACTTTACCACACATGCCTCTATAAAGCGTTAGTGAGCGGATAAGAAATATATTCAATGGAATCGCTCCATTCAGTTCAGACAGCAGACCCAAAAAATAAAGGACGCAACGAAAGAATAAGGAGGCAACGCATCAGAGGAAGTAGACAGCCACTTATCAATACAATAGTACACAACAATTCAAGTCCAAACAAGCTAGATTGTGTCTGCTTAAATACCAAAACAAGGATAGACCACGCGGGTCTGTGCTTGCGCAATAACAGAGAACGGGCCAGTGGAAGGCGGAGCGAAAGCGGCCGACCCCCTCCTTTGCCGTTGGGGTCTTTGCCTTTTCAAGCCCTTCGGTCAACTATCAGCCAGATAAAAGGAAGTGGGCGAGGCGAGCATGCGGATTTCGGCTCAGTCGTCTGGAATTGCGGCAGAAGTAGGCTGTCTTGCCTCTCGGCTCTGCTTGAATGGCCTGGTAAATGCGGCACAGGATCGTAGCTGTGAATGAGCGGTTTTCTGTTCTCGGGGGAGGGGGAGGGGGAGGGGGAGGGGGGATCCCATTGGATGAACGAGAAGGCCTCCCCGAGCGATGGACCCATAATGACCCAAAGAGTGCGGGAAGCGATGGGTGCAGCACCTGCAGAGGAGCGACTTAGGATGTCTGTTAACGGTGCTCTTGAAAACGCTCTTGCTTGCAAATCCTGTATAATATCTTTCGGATTTAACTGGGGTTTTTTTTCCCCTCTGTCATCAGCGAGGTAATCAGCTCCTCTCATTTGAGGCTCGTTGAAATGGTTCGATTCACGTTAGCTGGGGTGAATTAAAAATGATGCAATGAAATTGAAGAATCTAAATTAGTGAACTTTATGACCGAACTGAGCTTGCCCGGTTTACTTTTTGCTGCAGTGACCACCTTAGACTTTATCTTAACTGTTCGCTTAGGCTTCATGTGATGGCCTTCCACAGAAGGAAAACAGTTATGTACAGCTAGTCATTATGTTATATTGATTCTTTTGTTCTCAAATAGCTCAGAAATCCAAATTATGGACTTAACATGAAATGGATTTCAGTGCAACCTTGGAGCAGCTGAAATTAATTGTGCAGGAGAAAGGGGGAATGTTAGCCCTACTCTAACTTGGGTTCTCCCTCCTCCATTATTTCTCCTTCTCGACATAATGTTCGATTTGCCGGGGACAAATAGTTTCCAACTGTCCACAGGGAAATATAAAAAGATGTTTACTGTATAGAGGAATCTAAAATCGTGAGAATGGTTTCCATCCTAGTTGTATTTCATTTTTCTTTTACAGCTAAATTCTAGTTGCGAAAGACAAAACTCATAAAAACATAAAAACTTCCATGGCTTGTTTCCCATAGTAGTAGTTTCCCATAGTCCCCAATATAATCACATGCAGAACATGAGAATGTTGCCTTGAAATTCAAATACCCCAAGTTTGGCATAGAGCCGAAAAGAACTTAATCCAAGAATTTGAAAGAGATGTTTTTACCTCCTTTGCCCATCCAAAAATACAAATCACCAAGTATACAGATAAAAAAAGTCATTTATTAATAGTGTATCAAGTGTTTTTATAGGGTACAGAAGCAAATGATACATTTGATATATATGATATGTCAGAAATCAAGTAATCAAACAATTAAAAAAACACTGATTACATCTGAGATGTCACCAATGGAAAACATTGATTCTAGATAATATTCCACAAGTGGCTGATTTATGGATTACATTACTATTTCCCAGCTGGGTTAGTATCTTAAGTTTTCCTGAAGTTAGACAAGAGGCTTAGTTAAAGATGTTAATATTACAATTTAAATTAATAATAATGCCAGGTAACAATTATAGCAACTATGGCTGTCTTCCTGGGGGGAAAAGTGGGCAGTCTTGCTCCAGATCAGCAATAAAGTATATATTCTCTCATTGAAAAGGTAGGCACCAACCTATGTAGAAACCAAATTATGTATAATTGCTGTTTAATCATGTAGCATTATCTGAAGTTTTGAGGCATTTATATGATTGTAATTGATTTTCTAAAATGATTTAGAAAAAATACTGAAGACCATTGTATTTTATTTCCTTTTTTTTGTTTTTGCATTGATATAGAATGTAAGGCTTGGAAAATATTGAAATATGAATTTCAGTATTCATATGCAAATAGATAAGAAATGTAATGAATTACATTTTTTTCCTCATTAAATTTTTGAAAGGACATTTTTAAATGATAGAATCATGCCTGGGGCTTCAGGACTTGAACTAATGCTTGTTGTTACTAACTTTGGACTGCCAAATGGGGAATTCGGCATTAATAGTTGGTTAGAAATAGTTGGCAAGAAATATATTTTGAGATACAGATAAAGTCTCTAAAGGAGCCAATTGTAGTCTGCCAAGTTTGCCACATTCAAAATGATGAGGTTCTTGGAAAATCATCATCATGTCTGAGTGCAGACATTTATTAGATTGTGAATGGGCAGCCATGACACCTCAGCCTCTTTTTCCCCCTGGTTCCTGATCCACCAATTTTGTATATTCAGTTGTTCTTCCCTAGTTCATGTATCTGTTCACAACGTGGAATATCTTTTGGAGTATCATATCTATAAAATATTGCAAGACAGGTTCTTCATTTAATAGAACTGACAGTCTGGCAGGGAAAGAATCAATAAAGTCATGATGTAAATGTCAGTGCTAGAAAAAAAATCCAGCTCTTAGATTATGGGTTTCTGGTTACTTACTAGATTGTGGCTGATCAGTCACTAGGGAATATTGCTTTCTTTTTCTGAAATAATAGTGAGACATCATTCCTTTATTAAAAAATAGCCATATGGCAGCTCACTTCTATTCTTGTTGGAGTAGTAGCTTCACATAAATCTGGAAAAGGTAGAAATTCAGTTTTCTTTCTAACTGTCAGATTTACCATGAGAAAATACTGGAAAGTGTAGGAAATAGCACTAGATCAACTACTAATACAAAACAAAATCTTGAAGAATCAGTCAAAGACTATAGTGTTTAAATTATGCAGAGGTTTTCAAGGTAGGTATGGTTTGAAACCCCCCCCCCCCCAATTCTAGGTAATACATTCATTTTTATCATAGACATTTTACCTGGCAATGATAACTGTATTTTTTTCCCATTTTAACATATCCTTAATTTCTTAAAGGTTGTAAAGATTACAACCAAATCATCAACAAATGCTCTTAGTTTACATATTTCTCTTCTGTTCAGTAATTCTCTCAACCTGTCTTTATTTCTAGTCAAAACTTCAAGAGTTAGGATGAATAACAATAGCAATAAAAGGCACTGTTGTCTAGTTTGTTTCTGTGTCTCCACAGGTTTTGTTAATTCTCCCTTAACAATCTGTCTTGTGTGAAATTCAAGTTGTCAAATGTCTATTTGTCAAGAAGACCAATACAGCCTTTTTATTGTGTTGTTTTAAATATCCAAAATGCCAATATTAATATCTCTTAACTGTCTTCTTTTTTATCCGTTTAGCTAGAATCATCATAAATACCTTGTAGTTATTGTCTAGATGATAATCTTTTGATAAAGTTAAGTATTGATCTTCTTTAAGAATTAATGCTCTGTTTGCATCTATCCAGCCATCTAGTAACTTTCTATTGCCTAAAATAGAATGCTGATTTTTTGCAATTCATCGTCAAAATACTTATAACAAGATCATAGCAAACTGAAAATAAAATCAAGAGAACAATTGCAGAACAATTTAGTTTTCAGTGGTTCTCATATGTACATTTAAGGGTAAATGTTTAATCTAGATAAAAAGATAAACTGAATTACACAAAATTTATGACTGTATTATGTACAAATGATGAATGTGTTATTGTTAACATGTTTAAGCTTTTATTGACATTTGAAACAGGAAACAACAAGTTAAAGAGTACATGTTCAAATGGGCCAAGAATTTTGGTTATAATATACAAATGCACCAGATGGGAGAAGATATGACTAAAAGGACTGAAATATACATTATGTTTTAACTTAAGAGAAAATTTTACAAAAGAATATACACGGTTACTTCCAAACTATCTTGCAAGTGCATATAACGATACCAAGAGTTTTGTAGACTAATACTAAGTTGAAACTAGATTTTTGTTGTTGATACACATGGATAGTCAACTAATCTGATTCTTATAAGAACATTGGTCCCCTGGCCATCTATAGTCTAGCAATCTGCTCTTACAGTGGCTGACAACTGCACAAGGAAAAGTACTAGTTTCCCTGCAGATGTGTTTCAGTAGGAGTCACATTGCCATCAAGGCTAATAGCCATTGATCCCCATCACTTCCATCAACTGGCCCTATACTTTTTTGTAGCCAGCCAAGCTGGTAGCCAGCACCACATCTCATGATAGAAAATTCCAAATTACAGGCTGTGTGAAAACAGAGTTCCTTTGGTCTGTCCTGATTTTTTCAAGATTGATTGAGTGATTATTTATTCATTCACTCACTCACTCACTCACTCACTCACTCACTCATTTCCTGCCTTTGTTATTTTTACAAATAACTCCAGGCGGTGAACATACCCAATACACCTTCCTCCTCCTATTTTCCCCACAACAACCCTGTGAGGTGAGTTGGGCTGAGAGAGAGTGACTGGTCCAAAATCACCCAGCTGGCTTTCAAGACTAAGACAGGGCTTGAACTCATAGACAAGCTGGTAAGACCCTTGGGCAGGCCAGCAAGGAATGGGGACAGGTCCTGGGGAGCACGGGTAGGCCAACACAGATACTGGGGAGGGTGGGCCAGCAGGAAACATGGGCAGGCACTGGAGAGAGTGAACTGGCAGGAAATGTGAGCAAGCAGGTGCTGTGAGTGAGTATGTTACAGAGGGTGGGTGGGTGGGTAGGTGGTGCAATGGAGTATGGATCTTATATTCTGCAGTGGCCTCTTTGGGAGAAAGAGCAGCAAAAAACAGACTAATAGAGTGGCTTGTGACCTTCCCTGCTGGATTCTCCACTGACTTTGCTTGCGGGAATCCAGAATGGAAGATCACAAATGGCAATCATGCAGCCTGCTGCAATGATGTAATTGAAAGGTCACAATCACATGAGTGTGGGGATGCTGTCAGTTAGAACTTAAAGAACAGGTTGTATATATCACTAGTTCAGTGCCTTTGTAAGTTTGAAAGGTCATTGAAAGAGTGATTACAGCTTGAGGACTACTTGTATATATTTTTTTAATATTGTTGATTCTCAGATATAAACTTATTTCTTTTAGCTGTATTCAAGGTCTAATAAAAAATTTAAAATTCTTTACAGAAAATGATGATGTTACAGAAGCCTCTTGATGCTACAGTATTTATGTGATGTTGTGTAACAATGAAGTTGATACCTGTGGAATATGGGCAGCGTGGTAGCATCTTACGTAGATGAGAAAGAGATGAGGGGATCATGTGGCCTCATTGCTCCAAAACCCATATTTTGTGCTTCTTTCTGGCACTGTTGGTTATTTTGGCATTTGTCCACAACTTTTATCAACTAGAGGTAAGTTACTTAACCCTCCAAGAACTGGCCAAATAATTTGAATGTTCTTTTTTCTTACCATCCAGGTCTTCCCATGATAGATAAATAGTTTTCAGGGATTATGAATATATTGCTCTACTTTACTTATTGGAAAAATGCCATGTCTTGACACATAAAGATAACATATTTAACTGTAATTTATTTTTTATCTCTTTTGATGATTACAAGAGCTTTGAACGTTATGATTAGTTTCTCAATACTTTATAATGCTATGCTGTTTGCCTACTGCACACCCACCTCTTAAGCCCAAACCACTAAGGAGGAAAACAAAGGAAAGTCTTGTGGAAAACGAAAGAACTCTTACGAATTCCAGAGGGGTTTAGCAGAGAAGTTTATTTGCGCAAGGTTCAGAATTGCCTATCTCTAATATGCCTCTGAACTAGTAAACACTTTTTTAAAATTTGCCAACATACACTGGAGTGGCGTCTGACCAACGCCCTCCTTAGTCTGTTTTCCTCCCATCCTACCTTAAAACACTACCACCGACCTGGAGCCCCGGAATTTCCAACGGTCACTCAGCAGGAACTGCGATGGTTTAACCACCCACACAATCCTACCTATTGAAGACTTAAGGACGCCACCTTTGTCTTCTTAGGGATTGATCAATTCCCTCTTCTGACCCAAATGGGATCAGGTACCCCTTTTTATAATACTTGCCTGCAGGTGTTCCAGACCCTCCTGTGGATTAAAAGACCTGTCTGCTCCCCTCAGTGGATCCTTGATTGAAATGCTTCGCTGGTGGTAAATTCCCTTTCCTCCCGTCGAGGTCTCCCCGTAGTCAAAGGCCATGGACCGGGCTTGGAGATATCACCGATAGGAGAGGGGTTTCCCACAGGGCAGTCCGTCTGGCAGGACAACGGCCTCTTCATAAGAGTCCCATCTGGAGGTGCCAAAATTCTTGTGGAAAACGAAAGAACTCTTACGAATTCCAGAGGGGTTTAGCAGAGAAGTTTATTTGCGCAAGGTTCAGAGGCATATTAGAGATAGGCAATTCTGAACGAGGAGGGCGGGATTAGACTTCAGTTTTTATACTAATCTTCTTGAAGAACAAAGGGCTACACATTGAAATACACAC